TTATTTTGAGTTACACATTTTATCACCTATATATAAACCACTACAAACGTATAATAAAAATGACTACTTTTTGTCTTTAGGTTGTGTGATTTTATTTTAGCAAACATCTTTTCTTTAATATGTCATATTAATGATAACACAGACATGATAAATGAGTCTCTAAACAATGTAACAAACAGAAGACTCAAAAACCACATGCTCTTTTATTTTACACTATATTGAATTGCCTCATCTAGCATATTCATTCCAAGCATTTAATAGAATGCAAATTCATACAAATAGCGTTGGGTAAAATCTGCTGTGTTGAATGCTTCTAGGTTTCTCTTGGATGCCACTGACACTTCCTTAAACAGTACTTGTACAAATAGAAAAAGAATAGAGCAAAAATACATATCTAGAATTTACCTTCTGACAAAAGAGGGCTGATTTGCATTCATTTTATATAATAAATTCTTTAACATACAAATAAAGAAACAATACAAGTGCTGTTAGGAGTCTTGAAGGTTAATTTTGGAACTATCTTAGTTTCAAGAATTAGTCTGACTAGTATTGTAACAGGGACCCTAAGACAGCATAATTACTTTTTAAAATAAAATTTCTAAAAAATATTTATGAAAATACAGCTTTCTGTTCTCTTTCATGAATAAAATTATCCAAATTCTCTAACAACATCCCTTTTGCATTATGAAACCAAGGGCTCCACTTAGCAAATATGAAGCAGGAGTTCTTAAAAAAGACACATCACAGTCTAGGCAATAAGTGCCCCTCTAAAGCCAAAGACTTGGTAGGACAGAAGGAAAGCAAACCTGAACTCTTAAAATTTAAAGAATAATTCTAACAAAGATTCCAACCATTCCAGCTTTGGATTTTACAATTTCATTGAGATGTATTTTTTAAGGGAACTTGCAGCTTAAGGAAAACATTTCTCAATCCTATTTTTGATTTGCATAGAATTGGGCACAATGTAAGTATATTACTCTGTTTTAAATGTTCCTTATTATTTGTAATATTTCCAAATTCTTTTCTGTTTACTGTAATAAGTATTAATATTCCCATTTTATAGATGAGGAAAATTAAGATACAGACAAATGAAGTGACTGAGGCAGTCAGAATGGATAGAGGGAACAAAGATGGGATTTAGAAACAAAAGAATCAGGGGTTAAACATAATACAGCCACTTGCTGGCTTTGTGCAAGTCCCTTCATCTGGGCCCGTCTTTCATTTGTATGAGGATAATACCATCCACCTCTCAAATGGTTGATATAAGGTATAATAAGCAAAGCACCTAGCAGATAATCTTGTACAGAGTTAGCCATTCAGCAAACATCAGGTCTGCCACGAATCCACAATCCCATTTTCTTCAGCTGGTACAATGGATACAATCTTGTTTTGAGGTACAGGAGATAATATAACACAGGTAGAGTACCTGACAAGTTCAGGACTTAATACGTTTGTTCTCTCCCTTAATAATCCCTCACTTACTCTTACCTAAATCCCACAGTTAATAAGTGGCTGAGCCACAATCAAATCCAAACCTTAGTTCCACTATAGAATTTCCTTTGCACACACACACACATTTTATTAATGGCAGTACCTTATTTAACTTCAAAAACTAACTTAATCTAGGTGTTTAACCAGTAGTTATTTCAATATGTTCCAGTAAAATCAAATTCATTTCTAGGGTAGCTCTACTTTTCAGTAATCACAAAATTGATTAATATTTCTGACTTAAAAGTAGGTATTTTTAAACATATTTCTACTGGCATTTATGAAACATGTATTCTTAATATTTTATAAACTATTATAACCCAAAATATAGTTAAAAATTTATTCCTTAGGATTTCACATGCCTAAGCATTTAAAATGACTCAATTTGTTATACTGAATTCAAAGATATTAGGTAGCTTTTTTATTTTTCCCATTCTTCTCCCAAATAAAATAACAAAGTAAGGTAGTAAATATGGTAAATAAATACAGATATGCATAAAATGAAACAGATGTGTGAAAAATATGGACCAGATCTGCATTTATGAGACAATGACCTTCAAAACTGGCAGGGAGCTGTTAACAACGTTCTTCACAAGGAAGCAATTATATGTGTACTATAACCCTCCTATGTATATGTACCTTTGTTTCTCATAGTCTACAAATTACATTTGCATATCACAAAGAATAAAAGAATAGTCTGGTAACTTTGGCAACCTTCACTGAGAGGACATAAGGCATTTTATCATCTTAATAATGACATCCTAAATGCCAGATCAGTATAAATGCTGCAATATGAAAGGCTAGACCAATACTTTTGACAGAATTTCCTACAAATGTGGCTATTACAACTCTAACCCTATATACATTTCTGATTCTGTAATATCCTAAGTGGTTTCTAATTATGTCAAGAAGCACTGAAATTTTTCTAAAATACATATCTTATTTAAACAAAAATATGGCATAATACTTTAAGAAAAAGGAGTTCAAATTGTCACCAGATTTTCTTTTAAATATATAGTACTGCAATTCCTAAAATGTTGGGGATATTGCTTTCACCTAATAAGCAGCTCACAGTTTCTTTCAATACTGATTTAAAAGACCCCATGCCCAGTATTTTACAAATAAGCGCGCACATGCACATGCACATACCTCCCCACCAGACATGCACAAGAGGAAAAGTTCCTAAGAAAAGCTGTGTCTGAATGCCCTGACAATCTATATAAATAAAATGTTAATTTCACATAAGATACTGTCTTTTCTTACATTTCCTCATATAGGTAAAAGCAAAAACAATTCACAACAATGGTGCCCCAAAATAACAATATTACATATACTTTAGAATTCCTGTGTTTTTTAGATTTCATGCAAGAATCTCAATGCACAATCATTAGCATGTCTAGACAGTGGACACTCACCACAGTACGGTCATATTACACTAAGCTTAATTTTTTTATTTCCAATTTTTCTAAATTTTTATAACATTAAATTATAATAATGTAAAGTAAGACCATCAGGAAAATAAGCACAACCATATAGAAAACATAAATCCAGGAAATCCTGCTTAACTTAAAAATAGTATTTTTTCGAATGGTAATAAAAACTGCCCACAACTATAACACCAACGAACCAACTTTAAAGTTTCCACTAACTGGGAAAAATAACCAGTTGCCTTATTGTGATACCTTAAAACCACAAATCAGTAGTGGAGTGAAGATGTGAATTGTTTCGCTCTTACTCTGCATCTTGGCAAAAGTTAATGACCTGTCCTGGAAATTTTATTTCATCGTATGTATACGCATGTGTGTATATGGTCAAAAGTATTTTGACTCATGAAGTCTAAATTTTGCCCTGCCCTTGATATCCTATTGTGTAAATGTTTTAAATTTTAAAATAAAAAGATACTTTTAAAGCTCTATACAATGTATTCAAATGGTGAAAATGTCAACTCCATGTTTTCTCCTCCCCCACTAAAAAGCAAAAAAAACTGTAGGTGACACAAAAAGATACAATAGAAACAAAAAAATAGCATGCCACTTATTCAGTGAAAAAAAATACATAACATCTCTATCATATTCAACTACAATAATCCTTTCACTTGATGGCTAGCATCTTTATGACTGTTTAATCTGTATTAAAATGGCCTTAAAAAGAGATTTTGTTCTCTTTCTCTACCCTCATGGCTCTTTGGCAGCAGTCATCACTTATGCCCAGAGCTGGTTTTAGTGGGGAGTAGGGGGAGGATAGTGGAAAGAAAGCTGAACTGAGCAGGCAGCCAGCAGAGGCAGCTGCTCTCAGACACTACCCGATGTCTTTCTCCCACACCGCTATTTTCCGCTATTGAGCATTGTCAGCAATAAACAAACAAACAAACAAACAAACAAACAAATAAAGGGGCTGGGAGACAAAGAGGGTAGGACCCAGGGCCGACGGTTTTTGTCTGCCACATCTAAGGAGCCCTCTCTGATTTCTTGCTGCAAATAGAGATCAGGTGAGACCCCTCTGGGCCCAACTCAATTTGCTTCTCCAGAAAGAGCAGTTTCCGGCACTGAAAGAATGATCCACTCGGTTGCTGAACTAAACACCGGAGCATTGCCAATGTTTTGTTCGTTTGTTTGTTTGTTTGTTTGTTTTATCTGACTTTATAAAGGAGAGAGGGCTGTGACTGCGTTCCTGGGAAAGACTACTACTCCTGACGTGCAGTAGTGAAGGAACATATGCCAGAGGTTGTAAAAAATCCCTTCAAAAATACCAGGTTCTGTAGAAATGCTGTGCAGCATTATCGTGTTGTTGGCGTTCTTTGTAAGTCACTGATTCTTTCTCGCCACCGTCAACCCTCAAATCGCTGGGACTTGTTGCTAAATCTTTACCTCACGACCCCCAGAACTGCCCAACAGAATAAGATTTGGGGAGCGAACGGCGGGAGGGGGGCCTAGATCTTTTAACACCAAGAGGGCTGGGTGAGTTCCCTTCAATAGGCCACTCTGTATGGGCTGCGCGTTCAGTCCTACCTTCGGAAAGCTCTGACTCAGAAATGCTGGGCGGGGGGTGCGGGGTGGATTTTGACATAGACCATTATCCTTCCAACCAAAGAAAGATAAGAAAAGCCTCCTGGCCGTCCTTGACGGGCCGGAAAACCAAAGCCTACGTCCCCCGACGGGGCAACCTGGAAACGAGCCTCCAGCCCTGCCCGCCTCCCTCCGGGCTCCCGCGGAAGATGCTCCTAGCCCGGGCGGTCTCTGGAAGCCAGGATGGAGCACCCTTACCCCGGGAGAGAGCAGGGAACGAGCTGGGGGTTCGGGACGCGGGGACTTGCCCCGCGGCGGCGCCAAGCGCCCAGTGCCTGGGCCCGGACAGGAGCTCCGGCGGAGGCGCCCTGCAACCGGGCCGTCCTCCGCAACCAGAGACGGACAAAGCGTTGGGATTGGGGGCCCCTCCGAGGTAGCAGTCAAGGGCCAAGTTGGCCAGACTCGGGGGACGAGGGGGTCCCGCCGGCAGGGCGGCGCGGCACTGACCTGGATGGTGCAGGTGTACTCGCTGTCGTCCAGCAGCCGCACCGTGCAGCTGTACTCGCGCTCCAGGCTCCTGCTGCTGCCGCTCATCAACCTGCTCAGCATCTTCCCGCCCGCCCGCCCCCGGGAGAGACGCCGCGGTGCTGCGGACCCCGGACGAGGCGCCCCTCAGCCGGGCAGCTCCGCGCCGAAACCGGGCACCTGCACCATCACCCCGGCCCGGTCGCCGCCGCTGCCTCCTGCTGGCCCCACTCCTCCTTCTCCGCCACCGCCTCCCCCAGCCCAGAACAAGCGCCGCACTCTCTCTCCTAGGCACCCCAATGCTGGTGCCCAGCTCGTGGGGCGGGGCCTCGGCCTGAGGGGGCCCAATGGGAGTCAGCGCGGCGGAACCGAGTGGCACACAGTACAGCCAGTAGAAATAGTGTGTTGGTATGACGGACAAGTTGGGGAAGCAATCGTGGGAGAGCAGTCGGAAAGAGCCAAACTCGACCAGCCCTCTGGCGTCCTGAACTAGGGGCTCTGATACTCCACTGTTTCTACAAATGCTATTTCCGCCGCCCCCCCGAGCAAGTGTGGGTACTCGTCTGGATCGTTGTCTGCTGTTTGAAATACATTTGGGCTCTGCTTCAGAGGCGAGGTCCTGTACTCTGCAACGCCACGGTTCCCGCCCTCTCGCGAGCTGGAGAGGTGGTAGATCACAATCCCAGCACCTGCAGAATGCAGGCACCTTCCGCCCTGGACCAGGAGGCTGCCCCCACCTGCACTCCATCCCAAGTCAAGCCGATGAGCGTCTCTGCCCTAGCCCTCTTATTTTGGAGAACTGTTTACAGGAACTACTTAAGCCAAAGCTGGAAGGTTTGCGGAGGTTTTCAAGCACCTAGGTTTAATCCCTAGAAAACCTTTCACTCTTAACACCCTTTGCCTCCTTCCTTTTATCTTCAGAAGACAAAAGGAGACTGAGGCGTGCTCCTTCAGCCGTCACGGAGCAGAGGAAGCAATAGATCAATTCCCTGCACCTTTAGAACTAGAATTATGTCTTCAGACTTCTTCAATAAAACACAAAGAAAAAAATCATCTCCTGCTCTCTGATCCCGCATCTAAACACTTCATTTACGAAATGAGGTTATTTATGAAAACTTCACTAAAAGACAATATTCTCTCTCAAAATTTTTTGTTGGAAGAAAATGCTATGAAAGAATCATATCAACACTGAACATTAATGCTGTGATAAATATGTTAACTTAAAAATAATGAAATATGCATAGTCTCCTGTTTGTATTTATATTACTTTTGTTTATTTACACACATAACAAAAATTAAACCCTACCTCACACTAGGAAAATATCCAACCTCTAAAGCATGCTTCTTCCCTAGTATCTTTGGATTCAGTATTTCTCCCAATTTATTTGCTTAGAGCACTCCTCTCACCCTTTCTGTTATCACCTCAGTAAACTGGATTGCTTTTTAAATTAATTGCTTTCTCCCTACAGCATTCAATAGCTATAAGAGGGGGTCCCTCTTTTCAATACAATCCTGGAACCTAGAACCAGTGAGTCAAATATTCTTACCACAAAACTGAGAGTGAGCTCTTCTACTCTGTAGCCCTAGCAGGCAGCCTGATGCCTGCAACATAATAGGTATCTAATAAATGTTCAATGAAACAAATGGAATTGATAATTATTTCACAGCGTCTAAATTCCAGGCAAAGATCTGTAAAGAAACTAGGAGAATTTCAGGAAGGTCCTGGAGATGAGTGAAATTATTAATATGCCAAAGTGATATTGTACAAAGCTCAGTTTTCTTGTTGAGAGAAGATCGTGAGATTTCAGATGGGCAGAACTTTTGTTGAAAGAAAACTGCTATTTGCTATAGAATCTATATGAGCAAGAAAAAAATATCCCAGGAGCTAGAGGAAGACCAGAAGTGTGATGGTAGGGAAGTGTCTTTAACAGCTTATGCAAATAAGCAGCTGTTAAAAGAAAAATGCAAAGCACCATGAATCCAGAAAAACTCTAAGGAACTGAATGCAATCTTTTTTTTTTCAAAGTATGACCATAGATGCAATCAACAGATATGAGATTGTGGCTGCTATGCCAATGTGTTAAGTAACATTCCTGCTGAGCCTAACAAAATCATGTTAGCTTAGATGTTCACCTCATTAAAAAAACATGGTAGATATTTAGCCATGCTTATGCATAATACCTATAAAAAGTTTCAAACTCTCCCTTACTCTCTGATACAGAACATTCTGTGAAGAAAACAGAGTATGCCCTGACTGGTGTGGCTCAGTGGATTGAATGCTGGTCTGTGAACCGAAAGGTCACCAGTTCAATTCCCAGCTAGGGCACATGCATGGGTTGTGAGCCAGGTCCCCAGTTGGGGGTGCACGAGAGGCAACCACGCATTGATGTTTCTTTCCCTCTCTTTCTGCTTCCCTTCCTCTTTCTCTAAAAATAAATAAATAAAATATTTTTTAAAAAGAAAACAGGGGGTGTACAAATATGGAAGAAAAGCAAGAATCAACCAGTTTCTGGTTAGATACATTTCTCTACAAGGCTCAAGAGCAGAAGCCTAAAGGTGACTAAAAAGAAAGGGCTCATATAAATATCAAACTGAGGAATACTTCGTTTACCTTTGTTTTTCTCGTTTATGGAGCAGGATGCCCAAGATAGAAAAGGTTTGTTCAATAAAAGACCTCTTGAGGGTGGGTCCGGTGGAGCGGGGTGAAGGAGAAAATAATTGGAATCACTGTAAAGCATAAAAATTTTAAAAATTTTAAAAAGGTCTTTTGAGAATCAGAGTATCATAGCTTTCATGAGTTTTTTATTTTAAAGGAGGCCATATTTAAAATAAAAGTCCCAAATATTGTACAATGACTCAGAGCTCCTACCTTCCAAATTATCAGGGTGTCAGCTTCCTTTAGAGTTCCCTTCACAGTACTTCCCCATCTGCTCCAGATGTCCCATACCCTGATGTTCAGGAACACTGAGCTCTCTCCAGCTAGTGTAACCTTCAGCATTGCCTTGAGAGTCAGCAGGAGAGGGTACTGCCCTCTCTTCACCAGGACATCACAAAGGCCCTTCCCCTCAAAATCTCCTCACAACACAGCAGAGATCATTGTTTTTTTCTAACAATATTAGAAAGGGGGAAATGGTCCAGAGTACTCTAGAGGTATGGTATGGCTACTCTCAAAGCCCTTATGAACTAGACACAGGCCTGCCTCAGTGTCAACATCCATGTGGCTGAAGGTAGCTGCCCTCTCCATCGAGAGTTCCGCTGACCATGTCTTGGGCATCAGGCCCAACCACCTGCAAACTGAAATGGAACCAATTCCCCTCGCCTGGTTTAAGGTCCATTTACCATGGGAATATCTACTCTTTTAGAGGAAACCCCACCCTACATCCCCAGGGGTGTGACCTTGACCTCTGACCAAACTGGACTATCACCTTAGAACATAACATCCAACATCAGCACATTTCTCACAAAGACTGTTATTCAGTCTTTACATGGAGGTCCAAGTAGAACATCACCAAAGTCTGTCCGGTCCCTTTGCCAAATTATTTCTCCAGTAGGCAGTGAGGGTCATAACTGTCTTTGTTTTCCTGCATACTTTAAATCTCAGCTTCTGTTCTCCTAAAAGCAAGGACTCAAACAAGGACATTCACATCTCCACAGAAACAATATATTGACACATACACATATGCACACCCAAAATCTAAATCTACAGAGAGCAGAAGCAGTTCTGTTAAGAAGTAGTGCTCATGCTGTACACGCAAAGATTTGCCTATCCAAATGGAGCACTCGCCTTCTCAGTCTAAAGCATCTACGTTCAGATTAATGGTTACTTTATAGTTTTCCAGGAGAGTCCCAAACAAGATGGACGCAGAGGCCACTCAGACATATCATAATTAAAATGCCAAAGGTTACAGATAAAGAGAGAATCTTAAAAGCAGCAAGAGAAAAGAAGTTAGTCACCTACAGGGGAGTTCCCATAAGACTGTCACCTGATTTCTCAAAAGAAACTCTGCAGGCTGGAAGAAATCAGCAAGAAATATTCAAAGTCATGAAGAGTGGGTACCTACAACCAAGATTGCTCTACCCAGCAAAGCTATCATTTAGAATTAAAGGGCAGATAAAAGAGCTTCCCAGACAAGAAAAAACTAAGGAAGTTCATCATCATCAAACCATAATCACATGAAATGTTAAAGGGACTTATTTAAGAAGAAGGTTGAAACTATGAACAATAAAATGACAAAAAATACATATCTTTCAACATTGTATCTGAAAAACCAACTAAGAAAACAAGAAGAATGGAGACAGAATCACAGATTTGGAGAATGTTTCAACAGTTGCCAGAAGGAAGGGGCGTTCAGAGGAATGGGTGAAGAGGTAAGAAGATTAAGAAGTACAAATCAGCAGTTACAGAATAACAAGGGGATGTAAAGTACAATATAGGAAATGGAGTAGCCAAAGAACCTGTACACATGACCAATGGACATGAACAAAGGTGCAGTGATCACCCAATGGAGTGAGGGGTGCTGGATGGAGGGGGACAAAGAGGTAAAATTGGGACAAATGTAATAGCATAATCAAGAAAATGTAATTAAAAAATAAAAAAGAATACTACCACTTACATTTAAGTTAGGGAATAATGTATGGCTTTGGTAATAAAAGGTGTGAATTATGGCAATATGTTAAAAGTAGATTGTTCCAATTTCTGGATGAGTTAAAAAGGCAAACTAAAAGGGACCAGGAAGGTCACAGAAGGATCATGTAGAGGGAAGAAGCAAAAAGACAAGCAAATGAGAACATCAGTGAGTCAGGTTACGTGTATAGACTTTACATGTTAAATCTTCACGCATATGGTCTTTATATGATATGTATTCATCTGCATATCACAAGTGGTGTGTTTTCTGCCTCTGGACAGCATGATCAGGGTATGATATTTTATTGGCCTGAAGAAAGTACATACTTATATAAATCAAACAGGCTCCTGTGGTCTGGATAAATTATTTGATATGAAAACAAATTTTAAGTTTAATCAATGTCTTTTAAAGTTATTACCATGAAAAATGGGTCATCTTACAAAAAGTTTATGTTATAAT